TGTCAATATTTCCTTTTCAGCAAGGTGGGTCAGTTCTGGAATCAATCCAGTTTTCTTTCATAAATACAAGCCTTTAGAGGAATTTTCAGTCCACTCCACCTAGCCAGCTAACACAATTTGTTAAATGTTTTGAACCCTGCACGGCGCCAGCAGGGAATATCCTATATTTATTGATACAGAGGCTTTTTGTGGTTGGGAACATGAGTTCTTTGTGCTCAGCAGTCTCACCCTAGTCATGTGCTAATGGAAGCAGCTGACCACGGTGCCTTTTCATTTCATTATGCCTTTTTACTCTCTTGTCCTAAAAAAGTCTTCCAAACTTATCAGATAGGTCCATCCCAAACCTATGTTCTACTTACTTGTTATAAGAATGGAAAGACTGAAGAATAACTGGTGCAACAAAGCAGTATGAACTGTATGTCTGACAAATCATACAATACAGCAGATAGTCTGGGTCATATCCTCATATTCTTTGGTATGAAGACAGCCTCTAAATGTGACACAACATATCTCTGTCCACAGAGAACAGGTGTCTTCAAAAGGCAGGAAGGAAAGAGAAAAATAAACACAAACCTTCTGGAGAGGAAGAAGGTTGTGACACGCTGCCCTTACTTTTAGTATCTTCCATTTTGAATCTTCTCCCATCCCTGCTACAGCAAACCTGCTGAGCCTCTGATCCAGTGAAGGGCTTTGAGCCGCTTTAGATAAGCAAGTCTAGCAAATGGTGCTAAAAGAAATAACAACACAGTAAAGTCAGAGTCATTTAGACAAATCAAGTTTTCCCAGCAGAAGTCTTGCTGTGGATAAGTGAAACTAGCATTTGCTAGCTTTGCAAAACGAACGGAACAGCTACAAGTCAAACTGGCTTCTGTCCAACTGCAGAAAAAAGTCTGTGTAAGGAACAAATACTTCAGCTGTTGCTGCAGCTTCACACACCCTTTTGCTTATGTCCTTTGATGTTTGTGTAACCGTAAGTCTACAGCCAATGAAAAAGGTTTTAACATCTTTTTACTAAAAATGTCAGTGCATGTTAAAAACAAAAACAGACAAGAAAAGAAAACACAAACACAAAGCCAAACCCTTTCCCGCAATAGTCTAAAAAGTTCTGAAACAAACTTCTTTATAATCTATTTCTTGTTTTGGCATGCTTAAAAAAATATTTCACAAGCTTCTGTTTAAATGTATTTCCCATCAATATTTACACTAGTGCCATATTTAAAATTACACACAGCAAGTCACTGACACTAATACTTCTGCTTCAAAACCTACACGTGCCTATACACGTATATATGCTGACCTATATATATGCTGCACTTATGGGGGAGTATGTACATGTTGTTGTAAGGGAAGGGTAAGATTTTTTCTTTTAAGAACAACAGCACAGTTCAAATATATTTTCCCTTTTTGTCCCATCTTACAAGTAAAGAAACTTTCAAATGGTCCTTTTGGGTTGGTGCAAAACTAACCAGACCTACTTTGAATTATCAGTGGAATTTCTACCAGTGATACCAATTAGAATTTAATAAACAAATCTACCAAAGAAAAACTTAAACAAGATCACCCAGTTTAGCAGGAATATGGAGAAAAAAACATATATAATCTCCAGTAAAAGTGCCATTTTGATATACTGCCTTGAAATAAATAAATTTGGCCTTTAAATTCAATGCAAACAAGCCAAGTCATCCTGAGGCACTGAAATCCCCTGGAGGACATCACTGCCTATTTCCAAGTGTGAGCTTTAATCTTACAGTCACTACTTACTTGTGGTGATACTTAGGCTCATATGTGTCAATACCCAATCTCATTGTCCTCTAGCAATGAGTACCTACCAGACTGCTATACTGAATATTGAAAGTACAGGTAAATCTGTTCAGTAAAATTAACTACACATGGCTATATGGAACACTGGTAAGTTCAAAACAGAGGAGACAAATCTCAACAGGTCATACTTTTGGCATCCAGATTAAGAAATTATGTAAGAAGGAAAGAAAATGTCTTCTATATGATTCCATGATACTTCTTTTCAACAGTTCTTGTCAGCATACTTCTGAGTAAAGCCTCCTGTAGTAAAGCTCTTTCGTTACAAATAAATTTGGTAAAAAACTCTCTGCTTGACAAAGCAGGCCTTGCCCTGTTAGCCATTCTCTGTCTTCTCAAGGTTAATTCTGTCCACTTGCTATCTCCATGAAAGTCTCTGACAAGCTGAACAGGTAACGGTCAAATAAGAAATAGCATTTCTGACTTTGATTCAGGCTCTTAGAATAAATGAAAAGCAAGAACAAAAGCTGTAACAGTTAAAGAACAGGAAAGGAAATAATGTAAAGCACAAAACCAGGTATGCTGGCACTCAAATTGCCCTGAATTCTGATGAAATCCTTGGCCAACGTTATAGATGTTTGTGAAGGAACAATTTGATTCTTCGAGCCATCTTGGCTGCTTCTTTAGACATCAGCATTTCAAACGTAATAAGAGATGAATTTGCCAGGAACTTTTGCTTTAAGGGCACAAAACTTAATTTTAGGAACAAGTCATGACAATGGAAGATGTGTCAACACCTTCAACTATAGGCTTTCCAAGCAAACTTCTCTTGGTTAAGATTTTTTTTTTCATTATTATCGTTCCTAATCCTGAGTGGATACTTCCCCGAGGACTTCCTACAGCTTACATTCAGAAACAAAAAACAAGAACAGAAGCTTTGTGCAGAATGGGTAACTGGAATTAAGAATGTAAATGGAAGCAAAACATAAATTCGCCTTTTAAATTAGCAGTGAGTAAAAACTTTCTCCTAAACAAACGACTTATATTATGCATAGATAAGTCTCCTTATTTAAGTTTTCTATCCCCCATATGTAGTTGGGTTTTACAAAGGGAGAACAGGAAACCAGTGTATGAGATCTCTCAAATTCTATCCAACCTTGCATTTCTCTTTAGGCCTGCATCTTGTATTCAAAACATAACTCTATAATCCCTTCTCTTGCTTTATTGTCTTCTGTGGCAACACAACTAGCTGACCTAAACCCAGATCTGATGGCCAAGTGTTCTGTGGAACATAGGAAAGGGGAAGAGGGCAAAGCATGCTTCTGAAACTGGAGATGTGTGTCTAGACAGGGCCTCATTCTGAGAGGAGCCCTACCAGAAGCCCTAGTCTGCTTTTGCAGCATTGTACCACAAACACACATCTGCATCACTTAGTAGAATACATTCCCATCCTGCAACCCAAAGTACGAGCATGTACTGTTCAGTTGTACTCAAAGTGTCCAGTGAGAAAAGGGGGTGGAGGGGAGAATGGAAAGTGAGTTGTTCTTATAAAATCGTGGTAACATACCATTCTGTTTACAAATCCTGAATAATTGATCTGGATCTGCAGTGTGCATTTGTGTTGTACCAAGCTACCAGCACTCCTGCAGTGCTGGCTTCCCAGCTTTGTTGTACAAGCCTCCCTGCAGCACAAAAAGTTGTTCCACATGCTTTACAGGGAAGTGTACTTCTTATAGTGATGTGTGATTTAAAAGTTTTTGTTCTTGGTTTGTGAAACTGAGGTGTAGAAACTTGTAATTCCCTGCTCACGGCAGGGGAGTTGGAACTAGATGATCTTACAGGTCCCCCCCAACCTAAGCCGTTCTGATTCCTTTGAGTATCTATGCACAGGCAGCTAAAATATGCAACTAACACCAAAGAGAAGTAACCTCACAGCAAGGGACGATGTACCTTAGGGTAGGTGTCTAATGACCAATGTCAGAACCAGGTCTGTTCTGTACTGTACTGCACCAAATAGCTGAGAGAAGAGCTGAGGGCCTGCTTTGAGGCAGAAATTATTCCAACTACCATAAAACAATCTGGGGCAGTGTTATGATATAGGCCCTCCAAATCACTTTAGCAGTCCCCAAACCTTGACCTAAACAATGGTTCTCAGATTATAATGAATATTCATAGAGAAGCCATCCTATCTGAAAAATCTTGCTGCTGGTGGTTTTGCTGTTATTGTGTTTTGTTTTTCTCCATGACTTCAGTTTTCTGGTGATGTGATTTTTTTATGGAGACACGGAGATACCAACTTTATTTTATGTTATGTGCACGTTTTATTTTTGGTATTTAAAACTGTCTTTGGATTCCAGAGATACGTTGCCGAGCCAAAATTTACTTCAGAAGGCTATTGCGGTGAGATAAGCCTTGGGCTGAGGTAGGACTGCAAGTAGGATTGGCTCTGGTTCTGTTGGGCCGGACCTAGGGCAGCACACATGTGCCAGCCAGCTCAGCAGAGGGACATGCTTGGAAAGCATGAGGCAGATTACTTCAGCTCCATAAAAGGAGAGTCTGTGAGAAATACGCGTGCTTCCTGCGCCGAAAACAGGGGAGGTCTGAAGCCTGCTAGGGAAGCATCACTTGGTTTTGGAGGAAAAAGTCATGCAAATTTCTCAGAAACAAAAAGGAAATGACTTAAACCATATATGACGTGTTCGACTGCACCTCAGCTTTTCTATAAATCGCCATTACAAAGCAAGCCGGTTTATTTAAGCAGCATTTGAGGTGAAGTTGCTGTATGTTCTGGGTCTTACAGTGTAAACCAAAATGTCTGCTGAGCCGCGGTGCTGTTCCGGTAAAGGTTTTAATTTACATAAGGCATTACGTATGTTTGCTGAGCCCCACGGCTGTTATGACTTTGTTGAGGAATCAAATATATTGTGATCAGGGGCTGCATCTCCATCTCGAGTAGGGGACACGTTTATCACGCAGACAGCAGTTTTGTTTCACGAGTAAGCCTGACGGACTGGCTGGGTTCCGTCAGCCAGGACAGCGCGTATCTTTCCTGGAGCGATCCCGGGGTGACAGCCGAGCCGTGCTCCCCGAACACCGCCGGCACTCCGCTCGGCGGCCGCTGAACGAAGGCCCGGCCCCGGCGCGCAGCCAGCCGCAGGCCGCGCCGCCACGGCAGCGCCCAGGCCGCCTGCAGCCGGGCGCGGGGCTCCCGGCCGGGTGCGCGCCCGGGCCCCGCTTCGCTCAGCCGCCGCGCAGGGGGGATAAAAGGCTGCCGGTCGGGGCTCGGCCGGGTGATCCACCCGCCGCTCCGTGACAGCCGGCGTCGCCCGGCGAGCTCCTCTGGGAGCGAGCGGCACGGCGCGGCCCGAAGCCGGGGCTCCGTGGGGCTCGCTTCCCGTACCCGCGCTCCGCGCCGCCGCCCGGCCCCGCTCGCTTGAGTGATGAGCGCAAGGCGCCGCAGGGAGGGGAGGGGGAGCGCTACGCCATTTTCGTAGCTGGTGGAGTAGGGGAGGGGGAAGCGAGGCGCGGGGGAAGGGGAGGAAATGGCTCCGCATTGGGCCGGGCGGGCTGCGGGGACGCGATCCGCACGGTGCGTAGGGGCGAGCGGGGCGAGCGCGCCGGGGGTTGGCGTAGCGGCGATTGGCGAATAGCGTAGCGGCGGCGGCGGCAGGAGCTGCAGGAGGAGGAGGAGGCGCCGCGGCGGTTTGGTACCGAGCGGAGAGGGAGATGCACACGGCACTCGAGTGAGGTAGCTATAAAACCCCATTTGTTTACATTCCCTCCCCCACAAGCGGCCGGCGCGGCGGTGCGGGTGGCGGCAGCCTCGGGCCGGCGGCGGGGGGGGCCCGGGGTTGCGGACGAGGAGCGGGAGCCGGCGGGCGCTAGCGGACATCTCCTTCCCCGCGATGCGGAGCGGCGGGCGGGGGGCACGGCGGCGCGGCCGCCTCGTGACGTGGCGGTGCCGGACCCGCCGGGTGGGCGAGGGGCCGGGGGCGGCGGGGGCCGCCGTGCTCCGAGGCGGCGGGGCGCGAGCCGGTCCCCCGCCCGCTCTCCCCGTCCTCCCGGGGCGGCCACGCGGCAGGTAAAGCCGTCCGTCCGCCCGCAGCGGGGGCGCGGAACGCGGCGGTTCCAGGCCGCTGCGGGGGGCGCCGTCGGGCCCGCGGCGGCCGGTCGGGCCCGCTGCCCCGGGGAGGCGGTGCGGCTTTCCCCGCTCGGTGTCGCCGCTTCCCTCGTCCTCCTTCCGAGCGTAGACGCGGGCTGGGAGCGCCCCGTTCCCCCGGAGCCGGCCGCCCGCGGCCACGTGGAGCCCCGCGGCCGGCCGCGAGGTGCTGCTCTCTGCGAGATGGGAGCGCGCGCAGCGAGGTGTGAGAGCGGGACGCGGCCCGCGGGGCTCCGCGTCGGGCCCTGGTAGGTGGGGGCGGTGAGCGAGGCGGGCGGTTACGGCGTCCTGGGCCCGAACTTCGCCTAAGCATGGGTAGAAACTGCAGCCAGGCTGTGTAACTTGCGTGCAACCCCAAACAGTCAAGGTAAGCTGAGGGGAGTCAGGAGGTTCTGTCGTTGGCTGCGGTGTAGTGTGCACGGAAATGAGGAGTTTCCTGTGCCCTCACCTGTGCTTAACCTGCGTCGGTGGATGCTGAATGTGGAGCCTTTGGAATAAAGCTGTTCAAAGAAATCTCCCGTTATCTTTTGTCTTTTTTGCTTTGTGCAATGTCCCTATCTGCTCATTCTTAATCCCGTGTTTCTGATGTGTAAGCACTTGGATTTGTGAATTCCAACCAATTTTTGAGCTGAAAATAATTCTGTTTTCTTGTGCTAAGCGTACAGCTATATGTAACAGTAACTTATTGTGGATTTTTTTTTTTGTAATATGTCACATCGTAGTACTGGGGGAGCCTGCGATAGATGAAGGCTGGTACAGCACTGAGAACTGCACAGAACAAGGCCTGGCTTTTGCAGATGTGGAAGTGATTGTCCCATTAACAGCAGCAGTTCCTGGGAGTGTGTTCTGGTATTCCTCTGGGCAGTAGTAATGGATACGATGACATCAAAATGAAAAACACAAAAATGGGTTCTAAGAGATTCCAAGGAAAATAGCACACACTTGGATTTTACTTGAGAATGAATTTTCCATCGGATGTGTAGAGGAATAGGAATTCCCTGTGGACTGGTGAGACATGCTGTTCTAATTCCAAATCAGATGTTAGGTTTACTGACAGTTACTTCATAGGCTGATGTTCTCATGGCTATAGCGTTGATGCTTTCTTATGGCTATAGAAGAAAACTACTTGATAAAGATCTATCGTTCCTGAAATCTTTTGAAAATGTGTGATGTGAATTTTCCTGATTAGGTTTTTGTTCTGAAGTGTTTCAATTGTTGTCTTGTAGCCCTACTTAAACTGCTTCCAACACGTTCATATGTGGAAGGAAAGAAGCATGCAGCCATGCCGTGTATTTAGAGAATAGGGCTTGTGTATAGATCACAAATAAATTGTGTATGGTCTGTGAAATCGATGGCAATTCCTTGTGGACATTGCATTAGCGTCTACTAAAGGTGCACGTTGAAGAGGTGAACATGATTTCCTGTTGGGAATAGGCAACGAGAAAGTAGATTGTGCCTGCATAACTTTTTCTAAAACAGGGAAGTGGTTTGAATGAATGTGCCTTGGTTTCACATAGATTTTTTTGTGCTTTTCAGTCTGTCTTAAGAAACAGATGCACCCCTAGGACAGTCTATCCACTTGTTAACGTAAGATGAACTGCAAAAAGCAATGCAAATATTCACAGGCTGAGCTATTGCATGTTTGTTTCTCCCATTACAAAGAAAAAAAATTATAGTGAATCATATTAACTTGGGAGTATTCTGGAACCTTTGCTTTCCATAAAACACAAATCCCTGCAGTGATGATCTTTGTCTCCTCCAGTGGCTGGTCATGGTCTGATTGTGGTCTTCACTAAGTACATCAAGCAGCTGTTATTAAGATACTTACATTAATAAGAGATCATCTGCAAAACAGTAGCTGGTCCAAGTAGGAAGGAACTTTGAGGTGGTGCACAGATCACATGATACTAAGCTTGGGTGTATGTACAGACTAGAAGCATGTTTGGGTCTGTTAATTTTTGCTATCCTGTTTTAATGGCATTTGATCGTGATTTTTGAAGATGGTCTCATCTTCATCAGTTTTTACAGGAATAGAAGTTAGTTTGAATGTATGATGGGCATTTTATAACTATTTCCAAAGCCATATTACCTTTTTTCATCGAATGGAATTACCAAATTGGGATTACACAAAATCTGAACTCAACAAAAGTTTTTCCTGTAAGCTTAGGTTTGGTCCTTAAACGTGGTGAAAGTCATGGTAACTTAACAGACTGCAGTATGGAATAAGGGTATAAGCAACAAAATGATGTTAGAAAAGAAATCTTACTGCAGCTTACTTCACAGTTAGTCAATCAGCTGTCAGAACATTGGCTGTTATGTTTCAGCATGTTCCAGGATTGTCAAATGAATGTCAAATTCTGACTTGCTTCTTAGCACACCTAAAAATGTCATCAGGAGTTTCAAAGAAGTAAAGCTGGATTATGGTTCTGTTGTCTTTGTGGAAGTGCTTTTCATAGAATTGAGATTTAGGTGCAGAGCTAGTTCTGACAATACTAAGAATTGAACAATTCATGCCTTTGGGGAAGCAATTTCTGTTCTAATTTAAGGAGAAGCAGTATAATTTCCTCTTGTTCTGTGAGAGTCCAACTTAAAGAGCAAATATTTGAAATACAATTTGATTATTTGTAAAGTATTTCTCTTTGGACTGCTGAAGTTATCTTAAATGAAGACTACTGATTTTATCTTGGTGATTTGGAAGAATTTAGATTGTTCTTAGGTCATTCTTAAATTGCAACTGAGATATTTAAGTATGCCTAATAATGCAAGATAAAGTAATGTGTACCAATTAGGTGAAGCTAATAAAAAAAGAACAAATTTTAAGTTTCCAAAACCGATCAAAATATTGATAAGTGTTCTGTCAGCATTGTAATCTCCTGGGTGAGAAAAGGGCGTGTTCTTCTTTTGTCCTGTTCAGAATGTTCTATGTGATGCTGCATCATTACCGTCTCCAAGGGTTTTTTTTTATTTATTATTGATATAACATAAATTTGAGGAGTAAAAAAGAAAGGAAAAAACACATGTTTTAAGTCACTTAGGTTTTTTTGTTACCTCTTATGCCAGTTTAGTCCTTGTACAGATGTTAATGTCCCCAAGCAGGAAGCCAGTGTGAAAGATTGCAGAGATCATGGTTTCCTGATGCTTGTCTCAAAAGCATAAAAATAAGGGATGTTGAAGTTATATGTGGGACGTTGTGCCCATGCTGGGGAGTGTGCTTTATTAGATTAGAAATGTTTTCATCATCTTAATGTTGCGTTGTGGCACCTCATCTTTGACTTTCCATTTTTTGACTTGCCTCTTGCTGCAGAGGAGGAATGACTCAGCTGCCTTTTCTGTCTCAGCTGCTGCTGACCTATGAGCTTCATTCTTATCTTACTACCACATTTTCTATACCTTGCTGATTCCAAAAACTATGCTGAGAGTGAAGAGTCTGCTTGTTTTACTAATGCAAAATTAGACTGCGGTAGAAACTGATTAGCCTGATATGTCATTTGTACTGGCTAGTCTGTTGGAGAGCCTTTAAGAAACAGTCATAGAATCACCAAGGTTAGAAGTGATCTCCAAGATCATCCAGTTTAACTGTCCATCTACCACCAATATTTCCCACTAAACCACATCCCTTAGTCTACATGTTTCTTGAACGCCTTTGGGGGCAGTGACTCCATCACCTCCCTGGACAGCCTGTTCCGGTGCCTGACAGTTCATTCAGAGAAGAAATTTTTCCTAATGTCCAGCCTGAATCTCCCCTGGCACAGCTGGAGGCTGTTCCCTTTAGACCTATCACTGACAGCACCAGAGAAGAGGCTGACTCAACACTCAGGGAGTTGTAGAGAGCCATAAGGTCACCTCTGAGCTTCCTCTTCTCCAGACCAAGGAATCCCCATTCTCAATAGCAGGTGTAAGGTGTGTACAATTTGGGAACATTAACTAGAAATAAGTGAGAAGAGCACCAAGTTCTGAAGAGGTAAGAAGTACAGAAAGTTGTAGTCCTCATGCATTTGTTTCAGTGCTTGAGTGACAAGATGTAATTAGTAGTCCTTGGTATTAGGTAGCTAAATCAATGTTGAATTGAGGTAATAATGGAAGTAATTGAATAATGGTGTTTGTGTCTGAAAGTCATACATCAAACGAAGTTCTGGAAAAGTATTCACGTGGTTAGTCTTTTTCTAAGATAAAAAGCCAATGTAAGATACAAACTCTTCAGAGTGAGTATGTGCAGAGGAAGTTGTATGTGAAAGTGCAGTATTTGCATAAAGCTACAAATGTATTCCGGCAGAGGTCTTGTTCACCAAATTCTGGCTCAGTGTTTCTGCAGGTTGTTTACTTTATGAAGTTCCCAGTTATATCTCTGAGTAAATAGCACGATAACAAGACTTTCATTACTGATAGGTGCCCCTACAATATTACATGTTAAGATCCATGTCTCAAGGTGACTTGATCTTTACTGCACTCATAAAATGATCTCTGTACATTTTTATTGCAGCTGCATTTTGATTACTGCGGTGATTATTAATGGAAGAACAAAATGCTTTCAATACTGGAAATGATAATTGATTTACAGCTGATGATAGGATATCTATAATTAGTTCCTCTTCTAACTGAGCTGGTTGCTGATAGATTACGGCCATACAGAGTTAGGAGCATCAAAGCAAAACAAAGAAAAATATGCATAATCTTCAAAATAGTCCCTCATAGGTGTTATCCAGTGTGATTCTGAATGCTGGATTTAACTTGTTCAGTAAAATAGTAGTAGTAATACCACAGCCAGGGGGAACAGCATGCGGGTATGCATCTTATGGCTAACCAAGTCTTACTGTGCCACCATGTGCACTTCTTCATTCATGCCAGGTACAGCGCAGGGCAGAAGAGCTTCCTTACTGACCAGTGGAATATTGTACTCTGTTTTAATGGTGACTGTGCTGCTTCTCAAGGCTCTATGTAATTTGTATAACGCATTCTTGTAAAGGAAGGCCTCTCTTTTCGTCAGGCTCCGCTGCCTTGATAATTGCTCTCAGTCTATGAAATGTAAGCCATATCATTTTGGCCATATTTTTTGCTAGATTTGTTGCAGAGCATTCACAGGAACGTTTATTTGTGACCTGAGTATCTGTCCATAGAAGACAGTATTTCAGCCTAGAAGTACATTTTCAAATTGTACTAGCTTACATTAAAGCATAATGAATTATAAGTTATGTTTTATTATGGTATGAATTATGCAGTTATTTGACTGCAGTACTGATAATATTGTATCTTTGCCTCACTACACTTCAGTGCTAAAAATAAAAGTATTCCCTTTTATGTAATACTTGATGTTATGCATAAACAGGCTCGAGTTCCAGCTCTTCCTGTTCTGAACAGTGCATGAGGCAGTCGTCTGGCAGAGGTGTACTGCCAGTGCTTGAATTTTTCAGTTTTAAACACTTTTGCCAGCAGTGTGCCCAAGTGGCCGGGAAGGCCATTGGCTTCCTGGCTTGTATCAGGAATGGTGTGGTGTCTGGGACAAGGGAAGTAATCCTGCCCCTGTACTTGGTATTGGTGAGGGTGCACTTCAAGTACTGTTCAGTTTTGGGCACCTTAGTACAGAAAGGACATTGAGGTGCTGGAGCAGGTCCAAAGAAGGGCAACAAGGCTTGTGAAGGGCTTGGAGAATATGCTGTATGAGGAGAGACTGAAGGATCTGGGGCTGTTTAGTCTGGGGAAAAGGAGTCTGAGGGGAGACCTTATTGCTCTCTTCTGTATCTGAAAGGTGCTTACAGTGAGAGCGGGCTTGGTCTCTTCTCATTGGTGACAGGATGAGGGGAAATGGCCTCAAGTTGTGCCAGGGTAAGTTTAGGTTGGATATCAGGGAAAACTTCCTTACAGAAAGGGTTGTGAAGAATTTGCATAGGCTCCCCAGGGAGGTGATTGAGTCACCATCTCTGAATGTGTTTAAAAACCATTTGGATGTGATGCTTAGGGACATGATTTAGCAGAGGGTCGTTAGGGTAGTATGGCTAGGTCGTGGTTGGACTCAATCTTTAAGGTCTTCTTCAACCTGAGCAATTCCGTGATTCTATGACACCATTTATTTCCATTAATTTCAGTAAATACATATTAGTTGTAGTAGGTAGTATGTACGACGTGTAGCATATTAGCCTAATATGCCCATGCCTAATTTCTTAATACTTCATAACATATTCTGAACTACTCTATTTGCATGTTATCAAAGAAGAACAGCTTTCATTGGTTCATATGGTAAAACTTCATTTTTTTTCTTTTTTTTTTACCTGTAGTTCAAAGACAACTTTGTGCAATGTACAACATATGTTTACACACCTTACTCTGCAAGATGCAGAGTCCCAACAGAAGTTCATTCGTAATCTTTTAGGGCAAAAATTCTCATGCTGACTTTTTCTAATCGCGTAAGTTCAGTAATAGTGAGAAGAACGTGGGAGGTTTATGCTGACTCTTGGAAGAATGGATTAGGATGAGATACTTTACTGAGAATACAACAATTGTACCAAATTATTATTAGTTCTTTTGGATTTGTATCAGATTTGTGGATCGAATTAGTTGCAGTAAATCACTGTCTTTGCAGAGTGCATTTGGTCTGCTCCTATTCCCCATAGAAACTGCTTGGTTGCCTGCACTAAGCAGCTATATTAGTCTAATGAAGGAGTGTAACGTGGTACTTTTTAGCCTTTGATGCATGAGAGTGCATCTCATAACCTAAAAGTTCTATAATTTAAGCTAAAACCCCTTTTAAAATATATGGATTTAATATTTAAATGTGTTTTTTGTTGTTGTTAATTAGACAGTTGACAAATCAAGATGATGTTTTGGAAGAAGACAATGTACTGCTTCTTAAAATGAATGAAATTGAAAAATACACGTTGTCACTTTAGGGAAAATTTAGCTTCTACAAACTTACTTTCTGGAATTTACTCTCTTGCTGCTTCTTGATAGCTAACTGTGGATTTAGAGTCTGAATGTGAAAGGCAAAGGATTAATCACATTTTAGAAACAGTGTATTTTCATTAGGAAACAAAGAGCAGTGTGTCGTTTTTCAAACAGAAGCAATGTATTTCAATCATGAAGAAAATAGGAACTTTTCAAAGAACTCCTTGTCAGTACCTTAACAAATATTATGTAGTAGTTCCGATCAGTGACTGACGAACAGTGGAATGCTGTACCTCAGATGCTCTGTTGCTTTGTAGCCTGTGCAGTCATGCTTTTGTTTTGTTATCATTTTTCTTGATCATAAACAAAGCTTGATCCTTAACATTTTTATCTTACAGTCCTATTACTGGTAACACACGTGTCTAGAGTCACATATATATTATAAAAGTTAAAAGCTAGATATGAACGAGTATGTGTAGTTTAATCATGGGACAGATTATCCTGGATGACGTGCTTGATCACGAGGAATGGGCGTGTGATCTGTGACAGCCAGCACGGAGGCTGGTAACGAGCGGCGTCCCCCAGGGGTCTGTCTTGGGACCGGTGCTCTTTAACATCTTTATCAATGACATCGATGATGGAATCGAGTGCACCCTCAGCAAGTTTGCTGATGACACCAAGCTGAGTGGTGTGGTTGACACGGTTGAAGGACGGGATGCCATTCAGAGGGACCTCGAGAGGCTAGAAAGGTGGGCCCGGGTGAACCTGATGAGGTTCAACACGGCAAAGTGCAGCGTTTTGCATTTGGGCTGGAGGAATCCCAAGCATCCCTACAGACTGGAAGGAGAGGTCCTTGAGAGCAGCCCTGTGGAGAAGGACCTGGGGGTCTTGGTAGACGAAAAACTTAACATGAGCCAGCAGTGTGCCCTTGCGTCTCGGAAGGCAAATGGGATTCTGGGCTCCATCAGAAGAGGGGTGGCCAGCAGGGACAGGGAGGTGATTGTTCCCCTCTTCTCTGCTCTTGTGAGGCCCCATCTGGAGTACTGCGTCCAGGTCTGGAGCCCCCAGTCCAAGAAAGACAGGGAGCTGTTGGAGAGGGTCCAGAGGAGGGCCACAGAGATGATCAGGGGACTGGAGCACCTCACCTGTGAGGAGGGGCTGAAGGAGCTGGGCTTGTTCAGCCTGGAGAAAAGAAAGTTGCAGGGTGACCTCATTGCAGCCTTTCAGTACCTAAAGGGAGCCTACAAACAGGAGGGGAATCAACTCTTTGAAAGGGTGAGTGACAGCAGGACAAGGGGAAATGGTTTGAAGCTGAGGGAAGGGAGATTTAGGTTGGATGTCAGGGGGAAATTCTTTACGGAGAGAGTGGTGAGATGCTGGAACAGGCTGCCCAGGGAGGTTGTGGATGCCCCATCCCTGGAGGTGTTCAAGACCAGATTGAATGGGGCCCTGGGCAGCCTGGTTTAGCATTAAATGAGGAGGTTGGTGGCCCTGCGTGTGGCAGGGGGGTTGGAGATTCATGATCCTTGAGGTCCCTTCCAACCCTGGCCATTCTGTGATTCTGTAATCAGAAACTGATAAATAGTGATTTAGCAAATTAGATATCGAATTGGGGAGGGGTAGTATTTCAACCTTTACTATTTAGGACATCAGGTTATGAGATTTTCCTGTTTATTAGAGATGTTTTGGATCAG